GAAACTTGCTTAAGCACTTAACTGTTTCCGAAAAATGGAATTACGAAAACAACATACAGAAATATACTTGGTTCTAGATATAACCAAGACAAGTGTAAAAACAAAACTATTGTTGAGTTCTGCATCTATAGGACACGTGTATCTAGCCCGGAGACACGATTTATATTAGCTGCGGACTGCGGTGGTCGATGCAGATATTATCCTTGGGTCACGAACTCAATCAAAACCTCAGCTGTTTCCAAGGTCGTCACGATGGTCGCACAATTTAAATATCAACAGCCAACTGTGTTCTCATAGAAATGTGGTGGGAGCAGTGATGGAAATACACGCCGTCAACCTAGTTCTCAGCTTGCATTTTTTCCCCCATTGGTTAAGTTTAGTATCACTTAAGATGTTTATTAACCCTATCGTCACGGGTCAAAGGCCATGCCATCGCGTTTGTTGTCTTACATTTACAATTTTATTGAACTACTATTTTATGAATTTATGTCAGTAGGTTTGGTATCAAATTGTAGACTATAATTCAAAGTTTAGTATTATACATTAATTAATTTCTTAATTTAAAAGTAAATATTACAAGAACACACTTTGTGTGTCGCGTGGTATGTAGAATGCAGCATTGGTTCAAATTAATTGTTTGTGATGTCCAAATACAAAGTCTATAGTTTCTTACGAATTAAGAACTCAAATTACCGATATTAACAAGCTAGAATATAAAATAAGAACCTCCTATCTTTTCTATTTGCTTTTTTATACCTATCACCCTACTGCTCCTTCTAAGCGTGTTCCTAGTTCCTAACACTCATTTCATTTCCTGGGTAGAAGCCTATGTTACTCTCATTTCTTCTGGCAAAAACTCGCATTTCAACGTAAAATTGAGAAGTTTCATTCTTGCATGAACAAAAACAGTAACATTTCTGCTTCTTCGATTAATTCCTATCAGGCCAGTATTCACAATTAACTTCATACACAGCCTTAACACCCTGATCAACCACTTGTATTCTCAATCACAGGTTGCCCTCTAGTTATGTTATCCGTGTTTTAATTTACTTTGTGTAAAATTTCACACGTGTGCCACATCGTGTACACACGTAATCACAAAAGCATATTTTCAAACAAATAAGTATATCCAACTTACAAAACAACGTACACTCGCTGCGTCTAAGGCACGAGAAACCGTTACCATACTAACCAGCGAGGCTACTTCCCTAAACTGTTTTCAGACAGTTACAGTCTATCAAAGTATTGACATATGTGAGCAGTGAGACTCAGCACATTTTTCTAGCTTGTGAAAACACTTATTTGAACTACCATTTGGCCAACATTCCGTACATCAGAAGTAACATTTTAGTTCTGTCACTCCTTTGCACTTCAATATACTCGTAGACAAAACAAAAGTTACGGAAGTCGTGATACTAAACGTGTACTGAACGAAAACTACACAACTTTGTTTTTCTACTAAGACAAGGGTCGAATGTAGACAACATAGAAGTCACACCACTTTACGTGTACTGAACGAAAACTACACAGCTTTGTTTTTCTACTAAGACAAGGGTCGAAGGTAGACAACATAGAAGTCACACCACTTTACATGTACTGAATGAAAACTACACAGCTTTGTTTTTCTACCAAGACAAGGGACGAAAGTAGACAGTTCAGAAGTTACAGATTACACCATAATGTTTGTACTAACGAAATCCGAAGAACATAGTGCTGATATTGGTGCTATAGCGAGACGAAAAATACTAAAAGTAAAGCTGTTATTCTAGCATGTTAGCACATCAAGAATTTTCTTTTTCAACTAATCATTTCTTGAAAGAAAACGAATTACAGCAAATTACTTTCATTTCAACGTTTGTCTCTTCGAACCTTATAGTTAAAGTTCGTTCTTGAAACATTAGACTGTTTTATAAACCTTATCACACATACCACTTAAAAACGTATACCTTTGAACTAGGCCATTGAAACAAATTAAATCTTCATAAAGAGATGGACACAGGCAGATTTAAAATTAAACGAACACTGCATTATAAGAAATTTCTTGGGCAAGTATGTTTCCGTTTTAGTTTGACAGTTTAACAAAAATTTCAAACGTGACGACTTTGTGACGGTTAAAAATGTATAGTTTTCACTCGTGTAAGGTTTAAATACAATATCTTTAACGTTTAATAAAGATGCTATAATACCAGTAAAACAAGTAATTTAATGAGGCAATTGTATACACATACATCATGTCTGATTAATAACTTTTCATCTATATTCTTAAAGCTATCGATACACTCTTAAAACTTGTAACAAATGGACTTAAAAACAACAAGAAACTATTTGATTCCACTGAGAATTCTGAACCTCTTATTTGTCATACAAGCATAGACAAAAGGAACAAATCGTGTCCATAGATTCTCAAGATGTGCACATTTATCAAGCTAGCCACACCTTCCTGGTAAATGAAAAGAATAAAAAATTTGATGACCAACACACATACTTTTACTAAAAGGTTACCAAAAGTTATATGATAACTGTTTTTCATTATATTTTTAAGAAGTCTTGAGAAGTACTAAAATGTAATGAATTATTTGAATGTTCTCCTTATATTCTCTAAATGCCATTTTGAAAAAAAAAAAAGTCCATCAGAAGCCTAAAACATTACCATTAAATTAAACTGACTTTGAATCCATATAACAATTTTATACAGAACTAATCAAATTATAACTAAAAGTAACTACCTGACTACAGTTTTTCTTCAAGTGCTGTGTGTATATATATTCAAAATTTAAAGCTGTTAATATGCCTTTATTTGCATTGAAATCTCAAAGGGCATTTGAAGTTAAAAGCTTTAGTAAAAGCTTTAGATTTTAGTAAAATAATAACAAAAATGAGTAATTATAGAACTATTGAAATTTAAAAGGCAACAAAATGATTTTTACTATCTCAAGACATTTGTTTTAAAGCAATGTCATATAATTAACACATTAAATTTTATTTGTACAAGATATGTTTATTGAAAAACTGGCTGAAAACACAATACTGTCACCCTGCCTAACCTACCAACAGCTTGTTGTCACAGTAAAGACTTAGAAGTCACAGAATGCATTCAAGAATATACAGCACAATAGCAAATAGACACTGCACTAAAATAAAGAATATTTTCTATATACTTCATTATAGAAACAACTTCCATTTTAAGAACTATGTTATACTTTAGATGAAAGGCCTGTTTCATATGGCCAAATACAGCTTCTATAACATGTTTAAATCTTGTACAGCACAAGTCTGATTAATCCATTTCTTAAATATACTCTGCCTTGACAGGTTTATATACAGACTTTACTTCATAACACCTGTACATCACTAAGTTTTATCTGTTCCTATACGAGTTGAAAACCCAAATCTTTGTGGGTAAATAAAGCATTAAATTATATTAGAACCTAATTAGGGATACAAACTACTCATGTATTAAATTATATTAAATCAGACATTTGTTTGACAGCATCTTTAGAGTAAACACAAATGTGCTTAATTATGAAATTTCTCAGATGGCATAATCTTTAATGCAACTGAAAGTATAAATTATATAGTTGTTTTTTTCACAGATAATAGTGTAATACAGTAAAGTTTTAAATTGTTATTAAACTGTAGATACAAAGAATTCAGAAAACATTTATAACTCGGATACAACTTGAGATATGCAGAATGCTTTGAATAATGCAAGCAAAATAAGAAAAAACAAAACAAGAATTACAACGTTTCTTTAACCAGTGAATACCACAATCACCTTGTTCTCTTAAATAATGAATATATTTATATTGTTTCTGTAAACACATACCATAACTGTATTATTCCTGTAACAAACACCAGAAGAACTGACAAAAAGCATAATTACTTTATCCGTCTGATCAGAAAACTTGTTTCAGTAACCATCAAATACTGAGATTTATTTTTGCTCCTGTAACACGAACATAGAAAACGAAATTTATTTTTGAAAGCACATTTTTGCTTTTATTTAATCAACAATTTTAAGATTTAAATATTTCATTATTATGAAGAGAATGTTCCTCAGTATTCAATCCTGATAAAATTTGAACCTTATTTATTTTAGTTTCTCAAAAAAGTTTCACTTTGCATATTACAAGCCTTAAAAATAAAACTTTGTAACAATCGTGTAATTTACAAAATTTCAACTTATCATTCACAAATGAAAGATGAAATAACCCAGATAAAAGCATAGATCTTATAGTCTCAATATTTACAAACTTGTATTTTATAGTTATGTTTTTTTTCATCATTAACCTTTATGTATTTGTATTCAAGACCAAAAAAAACACATTGGGTGAAAAAATGGCTTCCATTCTATATGTGTTTGTTTTTTGTAAAACTTTTAGCTTCTTTTACTAGTCTGCCAATGTCTTCATCACTGTCTTCACCTGGATTCCAGTCTGAATCTGATTCTGCATGTTTATTCATATCAGAGTCATCTTCAAGAAAATTATTTAAACTTCAAGTTAGTTTTTGATCACTGTTTTCTATTCTCTGCACGCCGTTTTCGACCTTAAATCAAATATGAGACATTACAAAATGCACAAGTTTTATATATATATATATATATATACATGTGTGTGTGTGTGTTTTGCACAGACTAATAAGAAAAAAATTTAGGACTGTCATTTTCAAGTATCTAATTTTAGCAATAACAGTAACATGGAGCTACTGTATTCTTATTCAAGCAAAAAAAAAAAAATGATGAAGTAGGCTGTTGAAAAAATTCTAAATGACCTCACATTAGTGAACGAATCAGTAAGAAATTCTTTATCATTCACAGTCCCCCTAAGTATATTTCAAAGTTTTCACAATTTCATCCATTACCAAACAAAGCAAAGACTCCCACTCATATTGTTGCATGCAATTACATTCCATTATTATTAAATATTTTCTCAGTTTACTGTTGCAATTCTATGAAAAAAATAACCTTTAATAGAACTGGAACTCTTGTTAAGTCAATAAAACCTTTGTATTTCAATGTGGTGTTCATCCTGTAAAAGTTTCATTGTATGATAATACAAACCCATTTTTAACAATATTCAAACCAATAATTGTTCTGAATAACTTTATTTGTTGTCAAGGGGGCTGTCATGTGTATTAGTCATCACAGGGTAGGATGATTGCAAGTAAAACCATGAACAACTTTTTTTAATCTTTTTTAGATTTAGATCTGAAAAGAAAAACTAAACACAAAGAGACAAAATAATATTAATAACATACATCAAAATACTGTATTTACAGTCTTGTCCCTTAATGTCTGAAGATTTTCCTGAAAATATATAGTAATGGGGCCAAAAATGTCACTCAGAATACCCTGGCCTAGACTTATCATTGTATATTTAACAGGTGACCTAATAAGGTATAAGCTGATGATCTATCTTTAATGATAAATACTTGACTATTTTATGCAAGGTGGTTAAGTTTATGACACTCGTTCTACTATATTGTTGGCATTTTCATCTGTTTCTCTTTTTATTAATGAATGTTATAATTTTTCTATACTGAAAATGTATTTCTGACAGAAACTTACCTCCTCTCACATAATGGCTTTTCTCCTTCATCACTGATGCCCTCTATATGTGCAATTTTTGCTCACCACTAGCCTTGATACTCCCACCTACCCTTACATGTTTACATGTGATAGAGACAACCCTTCACCAATAGGAGTGAGGCACACACTCCTGGTGCAACTGGCTCTCTCTATATTATAGAGCCCAACCTTCACTTTGAGATTAGGCAAAAAAGAAGCACCAGAAGAGGAAAGGACAGGTGGGAAGCATGGGAGGAGGGAAGTATCTAATCGAAATACATTTTCAGTGTAGAAAAATTATAATTTCCGATAGGATACCTTACCTCCTCTCACATAATAGCTAGAATCCCACATTAAACTGGTGGAGGGACCAGTGCAAAAACTTACCTAGATAAGCAACCTTCAGAAA